CCTGAGCTGAAGTCAGTCACTTAACCAACTGAGCCACCCAGGCGTCCCTCCCTCTCTCTCTTGTGCTTAAGCCCATTGGAATTGTGCTTTCTTACTTACTGCCAAGTTTGTCAACTAAACACCTATTAAAATGACACTGGCTCACTTCTCTGCTGTCCTGTGACTCATGGAAAAGGCAACGTGTCCTTTCCTGGTGAACTGCAAGCCGGTTGTCCAAAAGCCACCAGACCACAGTTACTTTTCAGCTTACTCCTGTGAGACAGAGGGCATGGTTATGCGAATTAAGAGCATACTTGTGAAACAACAAATCTCTATCATTTGGGGTACCACAAAAATATAAAGGTAAATAGATAGATGGCTTGGGAGTGAGTTGGCTATCTTTATAAAAGTTATCGATCTAATGTTCTTAAGGTACGTACAGGAATACCTGAATCCATACCCACCCACAAACCAGGGTGGGACACAATGTCCCATGATTGTATTGTCTTTATTTTGACTCAAGGGCCCATCCCAATGTAGTGGATTTGCCACAAATGCTCTATAAAACCGTGCTCTAACCTCAGAGCTATGGAGGCACCCCACCCCTCTAGATGCCGTCCCTACGGGAAGGATCTTTTCGGCTCTCTGGATCCTGGGCCTCTATCCACCTCTCTGGCCTAAGACACCCCTTTTCTCCCTCCATGCTCCACACTTCTCTGTTCCTCACTCATGACTTTAGGCTTTCTTTAAAGACTCCAAGAGAGGTGCCTTCAAAAGACTTCACTTTTGCAACACAGACCTCCCCAAAGACAAGAAAGCATGAAGGAACATTTACCTGACTGGCACGAATGGAGAAAACGTCACTGCTAGAAGAGAACACAAATTAATATCTTAGGAATTTTCCCGTTACCAATAATGAATTCATCATTGTTGCCTATCAACCATGTGCAAGACTCTGGGACCATTTGAGGTGGCTCCCTGGTCTATGGTAAGCGTTAACTTGGAAGTCCCAAGTGAGAAAGTTATTTTCACTTTTGATCTCTCTGACGAGGTCCAGGAGAAGGTCTTAGCTTGGTGCTAATAGGTTTTTCACACATCTGTAACACTGGCCAGATTCCTTTTAATGCAAGCCGACTCCAGACTTGGATCCTCTAGTGGGCAAGCAAAGGGTACCTGACTAAAATTTAGTAACATCATTTTGTTGATCTATCTCTCTATTTTCAGTTTTCCTTGTGTTTATGGCAAGTGATGTCAGCTTTCACTTCTAGTAGTGAATGTAAACTTTCCTTTTAAAATGCATTTATTGAGGGGTGCCTGGGTGGCTCAGTCAGTTAAGTGTCTGACTTCGGTTCGGGTCATGGTCTCATGGTTCATGAATTTGAGCCCCATATTGAGCTCTGTGTTGACAGTGCGGAGCCTGGAGCCTGCTTTGGATTCTGTCTCCCTCTCTCTCTGCCCCTCCCCTGCTCACACTCTGTGTGTGTGTCTCTTTCTCTCTTTCTCAAAAAATAAATAAACATTAGGGGCGCCTGGGTGGCGCAGTCGGTTAAGCGTCCGACTTCAGCCAGGTCACGATCTCGCGGTCCGTGAGTTCAAGCCCCGCGTCGGGCTCTGGGCTGATGGCTCAGAGCTTGGAGCCTGTTTCCGATTCTGTGTCTCCCTCTCTCTCTGCCCCTCACCCGTTCATGCTCTGTCTCTCTCTGTCCCAAAAATAAATAAACGTTGAAAAAAAAAATTTAAAAAAAATAATAAATAAATAAATAAATAAACATTAAACATTAAAGAAATCATAAAAAAATAAAATACATTTATTGAATGACTTAGCTAAGGAGGAGTATTAAGTAGATAATACGTATTAATCTAGATTGTCCGATAATCAGATATCAAGCAGAGATTAAAAGCACAAGACTCCTATTAAGGGGTACGCCTATGAGAGAAGATGGAGAGGGGCCTGGGAGGAGTTTGGCTGGGGAGGGGGAAGGGTCAGACTGGGTGGACATCTGGCCCCAGTGAAGGAGAGACAGAAGGGGGGTGGAGATTGGGTGGAAGTGTTGTACAGAGACTGCCAGGCAGATCTAAGGAAGGTTCAGCAAGGCCTTCGGGGACTCCTCAGTCAAAGTCATCTGTCAGAGGAGTTCCATGTCTCCAGGGAGCGGGCCTGCCTCCGTATCCCTGCTGTGAGCAAGCCACGGGAAGCATGGCCTTGCCACCAGGGAGGTGATGGATTTCAGAGCACAGCACTCAGACCCAGGGCTGACCACTTCCCAGCGGTTGGAGATGTGAGTGGCACATTCTCGTGGCCACCATATGATGGCACGGGTGTGGCATCCATAGAGCTAAATTCCTATGGCTTGGGGGCAATGCTGGTCTGAAGGAAGGTGGCCTTTCAAGTGGGGGAGGCTGCCACAGTGATGTTCCCTCCTCTTCCTCCTCTATCTCTCCCACTGTACCAGGCTGGAAAATGCCCTTTAACCCAAAAGAAATTGATGCCCTAGTCCCTGGAAGCCAGAATGTGATGTTATTGGGAAAAAGAGACTTTGCAGATATAATTAAGTTAAGGACATTGAGATAAGATGATTATCCTGGGTTTTATCTGGGGTGGGGACCTAAATGCCATCACAAGCGTCCCTACAAGAGAGAGACAAGGATGTCACACAGACAGAGGTGGAGGTCATGGGACCAAAGAGGCAGGGATGGGAGTTATGCGGCCACAGTTGAGGGATACCAGTGGCCACCAGACCCTGCAAGAGGGCTAAAGTCTCCTGGGTGGGGGATAGGGGTGTGGCCCTGCCAACAGTTTGATTTCAGCCCAAGGAGACTGATTTCAGACTTCTGGCCTCCAGAACAGTGAAAGAATAAATTTCTGTTGCTTAAAGCCACCAAATGTGTGGTAACTTGCTACAGCAGCCCGAGGAAAGGGATATATCCACCTTCCCCTCCCTCCTTCTTTTCTCTCTTCCTTCTGTGCTTCCTCTTCATGTTGATTCTCTTTAACCACTTTCTGTGTTTCTTTTTTTCCTACTCTTTTTACTGAATCAGCAAAAGTGCTTTCACTTGCTAAGTAATGTCCCTTATATTCCTGTTTTTCAGAAAACTCTGGTCCTGAATGTTTCTTCCTC